GTCAACGTGGTGGAATTCAGATTGAAAAAATCAAGAATTCTTCAGGAAAGTCGTATCTATTGATAGCCGTTTAGCTTCCCGTGTTCCAAAATTCTTTGACAGTACGGTGAAATGCGGTTGAAACTGTGTTTTGTTTCAATCACAGTTTTGAAAGCACGTCATAATTTTGTATAGTTCTATTATTGAAAATTCTGTCTTTAAACCTTAATTGCCAACATGCTACAATTTGTAAATTTTCTTAAATCTACCTTTTCAAACGGATAACCACAATACTAAATACATACTAATAGTCTCGTATAAGGAACATTTCCTGATTCATAGTTGATTTTGCTAATGAAATTGCCTTCATTTATCCAGTCAAAATGTCAACCATCTCTATTTCGATGATCTAAAACCATTAACTTCATTGAATAATTATATATTTCTTTCTTTATAGTAAATATAGCAGGAAAATACATTAGGCCAGTTACGAAATTTGTCCAGTTGCTATACCTAACGACAAACATAATAAGGACTCCAGTCTCTATTTGCCAGCTTGGAAAGTGAGTCCAGCCAAGTACTATAAAACAGAGAGTTTCCAAGAAATTTCCTAGCCTTATCATTAGTCAATAATGGCTCTTTTCTGTAAGCACCTTGATCATATCACATTACATGACATGAATGAGGAAAGGAAGAAAGAAAATCCAAGTTTGAAACTGTGTGTTGCTTTTACTTGAACACTTAAGAAAGAGAAGGCCCAGTTCTCCATCTAGTCAGTGAGAATTTATTTGCTAAGAAAATCATGAAAGCTTGAGCCATTTTACGCAGGTTTTTCTTTTGCAAGAAAATTTCTTCAGTCCTTATCATTTGATTACTAAAATTTTAAGTGGCGTTTGTTATTTGAATTTCTGCAAGTTCTTGGAGTATTGCTAGACTCTTACAGCAATGGCAAGAGTTGCAAGGACTTGTCTGCGGTCAATATTGAAAATTGTGAATTCGACTTTGGGACTTGTTGGCATACCAATGATTCTCTATGGTTTTTGGATGCTTAGAGTACTGCAGAGAGACATGGAAAGTCCATCTTTTGATGATTTTGATTCTACTGCCCTATGGTAAAGGCTCTTTCTTTAGAATGCTCTTTACTCATGTTTTTGTCCATCTGATTACTCATCATTCGAATATTTCCACTGTAATGTCCCGTAGCAGCTAATCTACCATTTTGATGCTTGCTTTTACACTTAATTGAAACAAGATCCCCGTAGAAGAAAAGGATATTTTTTGTTGAAGCTTCTTTTCCACCATGTCTGTCACCTGCTTGCCATTATAGAGTGGAGCTCTCTGGCAATTTCTTGGCGGTGTAATTGATTATGAATCTAGGAATTGTTCCTACTCACTACTGCTAGAAAAAGTTAACTTGTTATTTATGATTGTTAAAAAGTTTCCCTTTTTTGTGCACTTATTAAAGACCTTTTTTATATAATTATTTAAATTTCTGGAACTAGCTAACAATTCTTCTAGAATTGCAGGTTCATATATACTTTTCTCAGCATTGGTGTTGCCTTGTGCCTAATTACATGCTTAGGCCATATCTCTGCAGATAGCTCAAATGGGATTTGCCTTTCTTGTGTATCCTTTTTCAAGTCTAGTGAACCCAAATACTACATTTCATGACAACCAGAGATTTTGAAACCAAATAATATTGTTGGTCTTAATAGAACATAGTACATGGTGATTATCTTCTTACTTCTCTTACTGGAAACATTAGTTGCAGCAGATATACTCCTAAATTCTGACTGGGAGAAGGTGCACTGCTCTTTGAACTGCCTCCTACTTCCTATCTTCCATGATCAACATCCTACGTATTTTTCAGCTTATACTTGGAGTTGTTCTCTTAGGATTTACCTGAGGATCCGACAAGGAGGTTCCATGATTTCAGAGAGTTTGTGGAATCTAATTTTGACTTCTTCAAATGGATAGCCATGTTCATCATCTTAGTTCAGGTACTTTCCTAGTGTTTGATTTCTACATTTCAACTGAGCCCTTCAGAAGTTTTTTCAAGTTGCGGCAAGCAAACTTGTTGATGAAAGTAATTTCTTTTAATTAACCGACTAACCATTTGTTGATGACCGTCTTCCTTTTTGGAAAAGGAAACGAACATTGATGAAAATCCTGTTTCGGCACACGATTTTTAAATAGATACGCTTGGCTTTTAGCAGTTAGCACCCCACTATTTACGTCCTTTATGGGTCTTGTCTGAAGGGATTTTCTATATTATTGGCAATGACTTTAAGAGCTCTTGGACCCAACAATGGATCCAAATATGACATTGACGAGGAATACACTTCGGCCAGGCTTCCACTCATCAATCCCCATTTACAAACACCTCCGTACGTTGTCGGTGAACCACGGTTTTAGACCAAGAATGATGCCTGGAATGCAAGGATTCATTTTCAGTTAACTATAGGTCTTTTACTGGTAGCTTGTGGTGTAGCAGGCATATAACATATATTTCTCATCCTTCTCAGGCCAACAAGTGAAGGAAAAACCACCATATTGCAATCTGCAGTTTGAAAAAGGAGAGGCACGCGAGCAGGGATCATTGTCGAGACAGACATTTTGGTTCGGTGGAAGAGCTTGGGATCGAGAGGGGATTGACGGAAGCCACAGGCATTTTCTAGTTACTAAGAATTATGAGCAGCACTTCAGAAGCTTTTAATCAAAATAACTAGCCTGTGATGTGCATCACCAGCACTTGAAATTGTTTGCAATGCTATGTTGGAGTATTTCTACATCTCTAATAGTTTAAATCCCAAAAGATTTTAGTTGCACAGAACATAGAAGATAATACTTGAAATCTATTTGTATGCTCCAAAGAAGCAAAGCATTGAGGCAGGCACTGAGGGACTGCAACTACCAGTATGAGCACCTGGTTGCATCAAAAACAGAAATAATTTCAGCATCAAAACAAATTCAATTCGGAAGGAAATCCAACTCAAAACAGATAAGACTGTATCTCAATTGTTTTGGTGACAAGAAAACAAAAAAATAGTGATAAAAGATTGAATAAATAGTCAACTCGGTTTTTAGTCTAAAACCACAGCAGAAGAGACACTCAAGAATGAAATCTAAAATAGTAAGTTGGCTAAATTAAAAATATATATATACATACTGAATTTGAGCCAAACTAAACTTAAACCATGAATTTATTTTTTTAATTTGAGTGCCTCAAACTATTTTTTGTTAATAAAAAATAGATCCTCATGTTAATTTTGACAATATATAATAGTTTAGAAACATGAAACTTTTTGTAAACACAAGTGATTTGGAAAAACAAACAAAAACCTGGAGATAAAAAAGTAATGCATGACATAAGAGATTGAAAGAAGTAGTAAAGAGAATTAAAAGTTGAGGTAGAGAAATAATGTGGGTTGGAAAAGTTTGTAACTCTATAAATTTTATTTAATTCATCAAAAAATAATAGTTATCTTAAGAAATTACATATATATATATATATAATAAAGTTCAAATCATAATCAAATTTAGATTTAAAACCCACTAACTTCAACAAAAAAACATAAATTAAAGCTCAATAATCAAACTAAATAACAATCAATAATTTGAGCTTGGATATCCTCAATCTCCCAATTAAAGAGTTACAATGTAAGATATCCTCCATGATAATCATGCATGTTTGTAGCCAATGTTTTAAATTTAGTGTGTTCGTTAACTTTCTCACAATTGAAGAAACTCAACCTTATTCAGTGAAATTGAAGGCATCTTCAATAATGCTTTCTAAAATCATAATTAAGTGTTGAAGGCATCTTCAATAATACTTTCTAAAATCATAATTAAGTGTTGAGTTGTCTCTTTGATAATTTAAGTATAATATAAATTTAGTCATCTAGATCAAGAAATAAGGTTTACTGAATCTTATCATCCCTAATAATAACTAATAATAACAACATGTACATTTAAGGTAACATTAATTTTATTTTTTATTTTTTTGATGGCAAAGATAACAATATCAGTGTAAGAGTTTAAAAGAATAATTAGTGATAAAATGTTGTAATTTATAAATAACCAAGTCCTTTATATTATAGTTAATACCAAAGTTTGGTGGTAGGTTAATAACATAAATATTTGTCTTTGTAATTTGTAACACTTTAAATGGTTTAACTAGTTTTTAAATGATATTTTTTAAATCTAATTTGTATTATGAAATAATCTTTAATATTAAATACATCATGATACTCAAGTAAATTAACTTTAAATTTATATTGTCCATTATTTATTTGAATTTATTTTATAATCTTAACATGCAAATTGCAAACTCCACTTACAAAATAAGTAACTAATTCATATATTCTAGTGAAGAGAGACATGGAAATAACACCTACATGCATCCTAGGTTTGTGACCTCAAACATCATATAATTGAAAGTGGAATGGAACAAAAATTATTTAAATCCTCAATGAATATAGATTAGACATAACACAATAAATCAAGACCCTCTCTATCCTTCTTATCATGAATAAAAGATAAGAATTCATATTGGATGTCAAGCACAAGGAACAAAGCATTTGAAAGCTTAGGAGTTTATTCAAAATCTATGAGATGTTAGATGCCAAGTATAAAAGGTGAGGTGCTGAAGGCTGCTCAAAATCTGACATATAAAGTGGCAAGCATGGGAGGCAAGGGATTGCTTTATTAGCTCTAAAAGATAAATTAATTTTAAGAATAATTCAAAGCCTATAAAAGATATTAATAGTAAAGAGAAAAAATAAAACATCTAAGAATAAGAAGCTCAAGAAAGAAGAAAAGACTGGGAAAAAAAAAAACAAAGAAAGAATCAGGTTAGAAAAGTCTACAACTTGCAAATTTTACATTTTATTAAAAAAAATTAAAATGTTCAGAAAATTACATATAAATAATAAAATTCTAATTAAAATCAAAGTTGCACTTAAAACTTATTAATTAATCAAAATTCAATAAAAATACATAAATTAAAGCTCAATAATAAAACTACATAAAATTAAATAACCAAAGAACCCAATCTCCCAACTAAAAAGTTACAAACTGATCTATCCTTCTTCATCAATGATCATACATGTACATAACTCATGTTTTAAGTTTGACGTCCCCATCAAGAGACCTATTTTTTACCAAAAAATAGTTCACGATAAAAAATTGAATTCAGGGACTAGGTTTAGTATGAACCAAACTTCACGGCAATTTTGAATAATTTAGCATATTAAATTTTGCTGGTTCCTTCTTCTTTTCTCTCGACAGAAGATTATGCACCGGAGATGGGAGTGCCTATTCAGATTTCTTTGCAGTGCCCGGCACCTTTCTCTTCATCCGGCTGAAGGGTCCAACCGTCCTGTCCATAACATACATGTATATGACCTGGCTCCAAGATTTATACGACTCTAAGCCCTCATAATATTCAGGTGCAATATCCTTCACCTTGTGAAGCTTGCTCCCAGGAATCCTCGGAAAATCATGGTGCTCATTATGGTACCCAACATGCCAAGTCAGAAAATTAAGGGGGCCATAGTAAGAATATGTCTCTTGCTCTGGCTTGAAGACATAGTGTTCTGAGATGAAATGACCAGCCATTGGGTGCATACCACCTCCTACAAAGGTGGAAAGGATCAAATAAGCCAAAGATCTCCAGCCCCAGAAATAAACCACGGCTGCATCTAGGGCTATCTGGATAAAAAAATTAATGAATTCCCAATAACCAGGGGGCTTTGGTTTGATAAATAGAGGTCGCAAAGCATAGAAGAAGAGTTGCAACATGACCCATATGGATTTTGCGACAACATTTGTCACAAGAAGGGTTTCAGCACGGCTTGGGATGTCCATATCTATGCCATCGACTCCTTGAAAGCGGTGGTGCTCAAGGTGATACTTTTGGAATGTTACTGACATGGGTACACCAACAGGAAGATTAGCAAAAATACCAAGACACCTGTTGTAGACTGGAGTTGAGAAGGCGAGATTGTGGGAGAGCTCATGGATGGCTAAGAAAAGGTTGTGGTTGAGGAAAGAGCCAAAGAAGTAGGCTACTGCCAGCATCTTCAGCCACCCAGCATCGTGAAGTAAAGTAGCAGTCCAAAGCTGGAGTAAAACAACCACAGTAATCTGCAACACCGTAATGTTAAGATCATGAACCATATAAAGAGCATACAGTAACCAAAACAATTTTCATTTATGAGTGTTTCCTCAAAATAGTGTGCATAATTGATCAAAATAAACCAGGTTCCGAGCACTGTTTATATTTTTATGTATAATTGCTCAACAGTTCTCAATTCATCTTGTACAAATTAAATTGGAAATCATGCAATAGAGAAAAACAATTGGTTTTAATTGTCTCCTCATGTATTTTGCAGAATTTGGTATTAAAACATATCAAACCAATCCACGGAAGAAAAATGGATGGCATTGCAAGGCATATGCCAGACACATTTTTTGTTCCCTAGTAGAAAGGAAAGGGAGAAAAGTGCCTTGAGGTTGATGTCTACTTTGAGATCTCGTTTAACCATATAAAACCTTGCATGATTTTAATCAAAGAAATGCCTTGTTCGATTCCCTCAGAACCTCAAAACAAGTCAAACCAAAGAAGATGAAAAGTCAATCCAGAAATATTGGAGAAACTGGAGGACAAGGCAATTAAAAATCAGAGCTAGTTCTTTGATGTAAAACAGAAAGGCAACCAGATGCATTCCCAGTTCAGCAAACAATGCTTAAATGGTTCAATCAGAAATTATCCAGTAATTCCACCCATTTGGATTGTATGCACAAAAAGTAATAAACGAATAAAAAACTGGCATTCTCATGCTCTCAGAGAATAGAAGGAAAACAGGTCAAACTAACACAAAGCATTATGGAAGAAGTTGCAAAACAAAGCTCTGCTATTGCAAAAATATGAAAGAATATATGTTCATGTAAATAACAAGAAATCTATAGCAGCAATTTCTCTGGGGAATTATCAGCAAACAAAAGCATTAGCACGATGAGGCCACATATGTTTGGCTTCATATTTCTGATGAAAATGACCAGGTAATTTGAGAGGCTATCCTATTTTTTGTTATGAATTTACATCATTACGAAATGCAAAATTCTGAATTCAAACAAAAAGAAATATCTGTAATCGACCAGAAAACAAGAAGAAGAAGCACTGTTAACCAAATGTTAACAGAAATTTCTAACAGCAGAAATATTTTAGCACATACATAAAAAAAGCAAGTGCTCGTTTTAGAACTTGCAAAACATCAAGCTACAAAAGAAATTCGAGCCAAAAACAAAACGTATCCATCAAATCTAGCCAAACATTAAACACCCTGATTCAATTCTCTCCAAAAACAAAAAATCACAAGAATAATAAAATGCCATTGAATCTGAAACCAAAAAGGGTACCTTTATAACCAATTGAATGTACAAGATAACATGAACAAACAAAATTAACAAGTTGACACCCATAAACATCAAAGCAGAACGCATGGACAAACAAACAACATTAACTTTCGAGATTAACCCCGCAAATCCACCAACATTATCTTAGATCTAAACGCATTTAATGAAAACAAAAGGAAAAACAAGAATGCATAGGAAGAAAGAGTAGGGAACCTTAAAAAAAGCCCAAGGATCAGGTCCAAAAAGCTCTTTAATTTGAGGGTATTGAGAAAGGATCTGTCTTCTCCTAGAAGCATGAGGTTCATCTGTGTAAGACCAAAAGAAGTCAGTTGCCATGACTCCCTCTTCCTTCTGCTCCATCTCCTCTCTCATCCCCATCTCTCTCTCTCTCTCTCTCTCTCTCTTGCTCTGTCAAGTCTGGAACTTTCTTTCTTCCTTGATGTTTTTTTTGGCTACCTGGTTTTTTTGCTTATTTTTAAATTGGTGGAAAGGAGAGGAGAGAATCAAATGAATGTTAGCATCATTGACAGTGATGATGATGTATGTATGAGTATATCCTCTCTCCGCCTTTCCTACTTTGGTGTCTGAAATTGCGGGGTTTCTAGTTTTTAGTTTTCACAGGGTGGAAGTGGGGGAGGCCAGGGTGTTTGCACTTTGCACTTCGCTGCGTTAGTAGCATATAGCCAAATAGCCAGTAGCATGAACGTGAGGAGTCTTGGCTGTGTTAGCCAATAGCATGTTCGGTTTTGGACATGGACGCCTGTTCCTTTTCTCCCTACCCCACATGACCCTCTGACGTGAGGATGAGCTTCCCTGCTTCCTTTTTTGCGCTTCTCGCTTGCCTCTATCATTTAAGATTTTTCTGCCATAATTTTAAATTTTAAATTATTAAAAAAATATCAATTTTATATTATTTTATATTTAATTTTTATTAAATAAATAAAAATAATATAATTCAAACTCGTAATTATTTAGTCATTAAAACTCTGATATTATATCAAAAACCATCTTAATTTTAAAGTTTAAATTATTAGATAAGATTCTAAAATATAATTTATATTATTCTCTAATACTTTACATATCATAAATATCAAGAAGTGTTTTTCAAAATTGTTAAATTAGTGATTTAAAATATATATAGAGAGAGATTTCATAGATTATTCTATTAAAAAAAAATTATTTATAAAAATATAAAAACATTACTGTTTGAATTATGAAAAATATATAAAATAAAAATTTACGACAAATATTCTTTTAATAAAAATATAATATTATAATTCTAAATCACATGTTCTGAGATTTTTTTATTCATAACCAGGTACAATTATAATATTTATAATAAATCTTTTAAGATGTATATATTAACTATTTTATTTTTTTATTAATTAATAAATAATAATAGATTATGTATAATTAGAATTTTTTATTTTATAGATAACAAACAGGATATGGATATCCAGAAATCCGACATGTGTATATTCATTACCAGTCCCATAACCAATGTGTTTTTAAAAAATCTAATTCTTAGCACATAACACAAATTAAATAGGTAGTTGGATTATTAACAATTAAGTGATTGTACTAATATATTAAAATGATACATTAAAAATTTACTATTGTTTTCAATGAGCTTGAAATCCTTTTACTTATAGTACTGTCAACAAAAAAAAAAGTCCATAAACAGTTTACAATTTATTAAATATTTAGATTTTCTTTAAGTTCCTCTCTAATTCCTATCGAGACTTGGTTCTAATAATAAGCTCTTATCTCTTTCCCGGAAGAGGTCAAGGTTGATGCAACAAGGAGAGGACCTGCCATCATGGCCGGTGCCCTACTTGGTTTTTTGGTTTTTTTTAATCTTCTCGGGAAGGGGATGAAGGGAACAGATCAAGACAGAGTCAAACATTTAGAAAACAAGTTTGATATGAAAATTCAACAGGGTTCAAAGATGAAAGTAGTTCCATCATGCAAGATAAGAGCTTATTATTAATGTGCCAATTAGAAAGACTGTGAACTATGAAGAAAATCTTATGTTCAAGCCTTGAGTATACTATCTATCATACGCTGTTGGAGTCAATAAAAAACTATTTTTAAGTATCAACCAACAATATTATATATATATATATATATATATATATTTGAAAATCTCATGGTAGTGTTCTATATTAATTCACATGTGAAACGATCCATATACGACTTCCATGAATTTCTATCAAGAGTTTAAAAGAAGATGTGTCAATTAAACTCTTCTAGAGAAACAAAAGTCTTTGATAATTTCATTAAAAAAATACATCATGACTTTTATTTCTCTAAAAGAGTTTAATTGATATATCTTTTAAACTCTTGATAGAAATTCATCGAAGTCGTATAGGGATCGTTTCACATGTTAATTAATAGAGAACACTACCATGAGATTATCATATATATATAAAAAAAGAAAGATGGGGATTCCCTTATTATTTTCTCATAAAATATAATCATAGCTAAAAAAAAAAAAACATCCTTCCCCTTTATTTTATCACAAATAAAACTTCCATCACCGGATATCTCAACTCTTATTTTATCAATATCTATATTTTGGTTTAATTTCTTAAATATTCGTTGCATCAAACAAGTAAATCTATCTATTTTTTGTTATATTTTTTTAGTGATATTCATTCAATTTTTGCAAATCTAGTATTTTGTCTTCCTTTCAGTTTCTGCAAATATAATATTTCCTCATCTCTTCAATTTCTGCAACTTGATATTTGCATTCTATTTCCATAATTTTTTGTTTTTTGAGTAATTGTATAATTTCAAGAAGATATTTATTTAGTTTCTAGGATATCTATTCAGTTTTTCTAATTTAATATTTTGTTTTTTATTATTTTTGCATTTAGGTTTTTTGTGATTGTTGATTATGATTGCTGAAAAAGATAATTTGCTTCAGTCTGTGAATGTAAAGTTAGATGAGAAAAACTATTCATATTTGATTATATAATATGAAATTTTTTTAAGGATAAAAAGGAAGTAGAAATATGTCAATGGAACTTATATGATACCTAAAAATACTAAGAAAGGAGAAGATGTTTTGATAGATGCATAAGAAGCAAATAATACAAAAATTATTATTTGGATCAATATTTTTGTTGAGCATTTCATAGGTATGTAGTTGGCGAAATATGAAATAGTAAAGAAGATTTAAGATCATCTACAAATATTATTTACGCAATCAAAATTATTAGACTAGTGATAAAAAAATAAATATAAATTGTGTAGATTATCCAATTAAATAAAAGTTATTTATAAAAAGATAAAAATATCAGATTTTATACCATTTTAAATATATAAAATAAAAATTTATGACAAATATTATTTTTAATAAAAATATAATATTAGAATTCTAGCATGCATATTAAGTGTAGATATATATATGTTTAAATTAAAATAAAGAATATTACTTGTTGAAACACTCTAAAATAACAAAAATTTTATTGTTTTCAATGGTAAATCACATGTTCTTAATTAATAAATAATAGATATGTATTAACTATTTTATTTTTATTAATTAATAAATAATAATAGATAATAGATACTCAAAATTTAATTTATATTAAAATTTATTATTCAATGGATAATGGATAAAATATGAATATCATGAGATTATGTGTGCACCAGTTACCATCTTTAAAGCTAATGTATTTTTAAATAACACAAATTAAATAGCTAGTTGAATTATCAAAACCTAGGTGATTGTAATAATATACTAAAATATATTTATTTTAATTTATATATTATGAACTTGTGGTTAGAGCTCAAATCTCAAAATGATGGGAGCTCCAAACATTAAAAATTTACTATTGTTTTCAATGAACTTGAAATCCTTTTACCTATAGTTCTAT